TGCCACTACTAAGGTTGATAGGGGAAAGACTCCCTTAATATACCCAAACAACGTTCCATTGGGCGTCAGGGCCGGACAAACCGACCCCAGAGAAGAAAGATTGGGAGGTCAGGCTCATAATCCCATTCCTGTATTTGACCCTGTTCCGCCCAGGGTAGATCCGGAAGACATTGCTCAAGTCTTGAGGGTGCATTTTGGAATGAATCCTTAAACGGTCAACAGACCGGCATATCAGAGGTCATTCCCAGAAAGAATCATCAATGAGCACCCTCTTCCGAGGAATTACAGACCACCCGATTTTCATTCTTTTTCAGGAGAGGATTGAGCCTCAACCATTGAGCATGTGGGACGCTTCACGGCTCAATTGGGGGAAGTGGGCAGTTATTCGTTTTAAAAATTACAGTTGTTTGGATTATCGCTCACAAGAACCGCTTTTTCATGGTTCGCTAATCTACCGCTAGGACAGTTGCAAACTTGGGAAGGTCTGGAGGCTGCATTCCATGTAAGATTCTTTAATCCGCTCCCGACGGTCTCACTCACAGATCTCGTAGAGATCCGACAGATGCCAGAAGAGACTGCTTATCAATTTATAGAGCGGATACGTGTAATGAAGGGACGGTGCCCGACAATCATTGAAGAAAGCGAGATGACCAATTTAGTGGTCAGGAATATGCATACCAGACTACGGGAGGCGTTGACAGCCCACGATGTTCAGGATCTGGCCAGTTTGGCTTCCAAAGCAGGAAGGCTAGAATCTCTTTTTAGAGAAAAAGATCATAATTTTCTATGGAACAGGGTCCAACAGATGGCCAGTTTCGACATAGAAATGTATACGCCAGATGATGAGCAGGGAAACAACATTGAAAAAATGGCGGCTGAAATTATAAACGCCAAGCCTTATGTGTGTTCCAAACTAAAGCCTCTTCCGGGTACAGAAGAGAAGGAACAACCGACTTTTGATGCGTCTAAAATAGACGAAATTTTCGATATTCTGCTAGCAGATGGGCAAATTCGCATTCCTAAAGGGTAGCGTTTAGCAACGAAAGAAGAAATAAAAGGGATGCCATACTGTAAGTGGCATAATTCTTTTACGCATTACACTAATCAATGTACGCATTTCCGAAAGGAAATACAGAAGGCTATCAAAGCAGGGAGATTCAAGTATGTAACAATGGGAGTGGAGCACCAGCCGTTCCCAAAGGTGACTACTGTTGTGATCTCTCTGTGCTCTTCACAAGATACGCAAAGTGATGATGAAGAAAATACCAAGCGAAAGGAGCGTAAGCCCAAAGAGCGGGAACATGATCAGGAAGACAAGTTCAAAGTTTGCGAAACCAGAGTGGTAGAGAAATGGGATAAAGAAGATGGATCATTCGAAGTGTAATTAAAGGATAAAGCTGTAGTACGAGATCGACCAATGCGCAAAACACAGCCAGTCCATGACAAATGGAGTCAGAACAGAAAGCCTCTGCCAATACACACAGATCCCCAGTTTCCAGGTATGAATCGTACACAAATCTGTAATGCTAAGCGCAGGTATGCGGCTCGACATGTAAAGCGAACAGACAAAGGGAAAGAGAAGAAGGTGTCGTCACCAAAAGGAAAACCTCGAGCGACCGACTACAAGAGTACTGGCAGATTGAAAAGCCTATCAAGAAGGCCAGGTGCTTTCGGTGTCAGTTCTGCAGACGGATCAACATTGATCCTGAAATAGGAGATGCCGAGGAAGAGACTCCTGAGATAATCTTTGGGTCATTTGCTCCAGAATAAACAAAAGTCTTGCGCAGCAAGATAGTGAAGATTGATAAAGCCGGGTTCGAAGTCAGGATGACGGATATGCGATGGTTCGAGGAAGAACAAGAGCCCATCTGGGCAAAGTTGGAAGAAAAAGAACCAGAGTGGGCGGCGATGACTGGCAGACCCCACCTATGGTTTTTCCGCTTATACCAGAAGGAGCAATCCCACACTTGAAACTATTGTATGTTAACGCTCACATTTGTGGTAAGCCGATTAACAAGGTTTTCATTGATAATGGGGCCGTCTTCAACGTCATGCCTCTTAAAACTCTGAGAAAATTGGGCAAAGGGATTGGTGACCTGTCTCTAGTAGATATCGAGATGACAAGCTTCATGGGACAACAAACCAAACCAGAAGGGATGATGGTGGCACCCACTGAAGCCGGACCAAAGGTGATTTCAACAGTATTCTTCGTGGTAGATGCCAACACTACTTATTCGGTCTTGTTGGGGCGAGACTGGATTCACGCTTCCATATGCACGCCTTCTTCTTTTTATCAACAGATCATGTTTTGGGAAAGAGATTAGGTATTCACCATGGAAGCCAGCACCAATCCGTTCGGCTCCATAGAAGGTGTGGAAGAGTCGGTGCTTTATTCAGAGTATGTACCGCCGATTTCACGGACAACTGTGGTAGACGAATATCCCTGGAAGGGCTGTAGGCTCACTGTGCAGGGTTATGTGTTTCATTAGAAACATTATTCTATTTTATGGCTCTGTCGTTAGCCAAAAAAACTTTTTCATTTATTTAAGTTTAATTATGGAAGAAATAAGTAAATGTGATAAGCTGATTAGACAGTTTTATTTAAACCAATTAATGGTTAGGTTACATAATAGGGAAGGTTCCAACAATAATGTTGGCGAGGGAGAAGGTTTTCGCTGGCCTGATCTCTTGGAAAAGACAGAACCTTCCTTGTCGACTCAGGATCCTCTCATTGAGTATAATGTAGGAACCGAACAGATACCTAAAATGGTCAGGGTAAGTGGTTTGTTGCCTAAGAACCAACATGAGCAAATGGTAGCGTTAATTCGGGACCATATGGAGTGTCTGGCATGGGATTACTCCGAGATGCCCGGATTGGCGCACAATTTGATAGAACAAAGGTTGCCTATTAAGAAAGGGTTTAAGCCGTATAAGCAACCACCAAGGAAAGAGTCCAGAATTGATGCCCCAGATCAAAGAAGAAATTGAGAAACTGTTGAAGGTGGGATTCATTCGACCATGTCGGTATACGGAATGGTTAGCCAATATTGTTCTGGTAACCAAGAAAAATGGAAAGATTCGAAACTGCATTGATTTCAGAGATCGCAATCTAGCCACTTCAAAAGATGAGTATGTGATGCCCATAGCTGACATGTTGATCGACTCGGCAGCAGAGCATCGAATTTTAAGTTTGATTGATGGATATGCAGAGTATAATCAAATTTCATTAGCGGAAGAAGATATACCAAAAACCGCGTTCAGATGCCTAGGAGCTTTGGGAATCTACGAGTGGACGGTTATGCCATTCGATTTAAAGAATGCTGGAGCAACTTACCAACGGGCAATGAATACCATCTTTCATGACCTGATCGGGCAGTCAATGGAGGTATACATCGATGATGTGATCATTAAGTCTACTGACTTTGACACACATCTATTTGATTTAAAAATGCTTTTTTACGGATGAAGCAGTACAACCTGAAAATGAACCCAACGAAATGTGCCTTTGGAGTTTCGGAAGGGAATTTCCTGGGGTTTTTAGTGCATGAAAAGGGATAAAAGTTGATGCAAACAAAGCCAAGGCTGTTTTGACAATGGGACCACCTCGGTCGGTCAAAGAAGTGCAATGTTTGTTGGGAAAGGTAAATTACCTAAGGCATTTTATATCAAATGCTGCAGGGAAGTTAAAACCTATCACAAAGTTGCTACGGAATAAGGCAACCGATTTATCTTGGGGTCAGGAGCAGCAAAAGGCATTAGAAGAAATCAACCAGACATTAACCAAACCACCTGTGTTGGTTCCCCCAAAAGGAGATCGACCTCTCTGATTGTATGTTGCAAACAGTTTCGATGTGGTAAGTAGTTTGCTGGCGCAAGAATGGGAAGATGGTAAAGAAAGGGCTATTTATTATTAAGTAAAACTCTGAAAGGACCAGAGTTAAATTATCTTATGCCCAAGAAAATGTGCTATTCTTTAGTTTTTGCGTGTACTCGGCTGGAGCATTATATTCTGCCAAGAGAAACCGAGGTGGTTTCTAAAATGGATCTGATCAGATTAATTCTGCACAGACCAACCATGCAGGGAAGATTAATAAAATGGGCCATCAAATTGGCTCCTTTCGCGCTGCAACATCGACCTATCAAAGCGGTAAAAGGGCAGGTTGTAGCTGACTTGTTGGCTGAATTTGTAGACGATGAATCATTGGAAAACAAAGTAGTGCTGTATATAGGCACCAGTCCTTGGAAAATGTTTTTTGATGGTTCACGTTCAAAAGGAAAGTCAAGAGCAGGGGTGATACTAGAAGGACCAGAAGCCAGTAAAATTAGTTTGGAGCTTCAAATGGAAGAGATGACTCATAACTCTGCGGAATACGAAGCACTGATTTTGGGTTTGGAATCACTTATCGCTAAAGGAGTACAATCGGTCCTAATTTGTGGAGATTCTCAACTTGTCATCAATCAAGTGTTAAAATGGTACGCTTGTAATTATCCTCATCTACGTCGATACCGAGATTTGGTATATCATCTGTTATACAACATTGCGGAGGTAGTTTTTGAGGATGTACCAAGAACAGAGAATCGGTTGGCGGATAATTTGGCTCAGAATGCCTGCCAACAAATGATCGGGAGCATCGATTCTGGGACTGATTGGAGAACAAAAATTATGGTGTATTTGGAATCACCAAGTTTTGTGACTCCTGTGGGCATTTGATTGAAAGCCTTACGTTTTCCAGCTTATTGAAGGGGTTCTGTATAAAAGAACCTTTGAAGGAGTTTTATTGAGGTGTTTGGGGCCGAAAGAATCCATCAAAGTAATGGAAGAGGTTCATGATGGAATTTGTGGGGCGCACCGAGCAGGATTAAATATGCGATGGGCTATTCATTGTATTGGATTCTATTGACCAAAGATTTTTTACGATTGCATCAGATTTGCTAAAGGATATCAGGAATGCCAGAGGCATGGTCCACTAAATCATCTGCCAACTTAAGAACTGCAGGCAATGGTTAAGCCATGGCCATTCAGAGCTTGGGCGTTGGATGTAATAGGGAAAATTCATCCGACGTCGTCAAAACAACATTCATTCATTCTGGTAGCAACTGATTATTTCACCAAATGGGTAGAGGCAGTCCCTTTGAAGAATGCGACGCAAAAAGAGGTGATTGAGTTCGTGCTTAATCACATCGTCTATCGGTTTGGGATTCCGCACACTCTTACAACCGATCAAGGGTTGAAGTTTACTGGGGAGAAATCTGTTGAATTTTTAGACGAATTTAACATCAAATTGCATCACTCTTCACCATATTACCCACAGGCTAATGGGTTGGCCGAAGCAGCAAATAAGATTGTCATCGGTATCATTCGAAAAATGGTAGAAGAAAATCCAAGGAAATGACACACATTGTTGTCTCAGGCGTTGTGGGCCCACCGAAATAGTAGAAATACGTCTACTGGATTTTTCCCATACCAGTTAACATTCGGGCAAGATGCTGTTTTGCCGGCAGAATTTGTTGTGTCTTCACCCAGAGTGGCTAGTACAACAGCATGTATTGATGAGGCATATGCACAAAGGATGTGGCAACAACTGGAGGAGGTGGACACAGATCGTTTGAATGCTTTGGATCAAGTGGTTAGACAGAGCGAGATTAGAGAAAAATATTATGGAAAAAGAGTGTCCCCAAGGTTTACATAAGGAGATTTGGTCTGGAAAATAATTCTGCCTACGTATAAGAAGGTGGACCAATTAGGGAAATGGTCCCCCAATTGGGAAGGTCCTTTCATCATTCATAAAGTGATTGAGAATGGAGCTTTTATTATCGTAAATCAAGAAGGAAAGCTGGTACATGAGAATATTAATGCTAAGTATCTGAAAAGGTATTACCCTGCCTTTTTAGAACATTGTCATTAGTTCTTATTATAAAATCTAGGAACCCCTCAAAGGGTTCGAACCTATTAGAAAAGAGTTCTCTAATCATCAGAAGAATAGTTGTCTTCTGGTTCAGAGGTTTCATCCCAACTCGCAGAAACCATTTCAGGTTCTTCATCCAAGAGGTCGTCCAAATCAAGGCGGTAGCGATCCCACTGATCCTGCATTTCTTGAAGATCTTGTTTGGTGCGGACCTTCATATCTTGCAGAGATTGATTCTCTCGTTCAACAAGGACGCACAGTCTGGAAAGTGTTGATCTTTTCTGATGAAAAATGTTGTTCCAGCTTAGGTCTGGAAGGATTGCCGATACATGATGATCTATCATGTCCAGATGATGATCAAGGTCAGATATGCGGGTGAGTATATCGGTAAGGGGTTCATATCCAGTGGATATACGCTCCATCAATCGGATCGTACGATGTATAGTTCTCCCGCCTCTGCCGGAGAACCTAAATTTAAAGTCCAGTTGTTTTAGCACTTGTATCAGGTCTTCAGTATGATGACCTATGGGGTGTTTTCCTACTAGGAATGGTTGCAAAGAACTTTGCCAGTTGGACGAAGGGACGCAAATGCGAGGAGAAACCATTTTGAGTGATGATGTGGGTGTGCTGATGATATTTGCAGTGAGAGGTATGGAGTTTATATAGGTGTTGTGATGTTTAATTTGTGGTTTATTAAATGTGCAAAAAATATGGATCTTTGTTTTGATGTCTGACTTAGTAAAAACGCAAAAAACATAGGATCTTTGTTCTGAAAATAGAGTATATAGATTAAGTTTGGAACTCTGTACAAATTATATCAGGGTTACAGAAGAAAGCAGGGCCTTAAGGGCAGTTTGGAGATCGGTCCATTTTAGTTCCGACTTTGTGGCCCGCCGACGCTGATAGGCTTCTTCGTGTCCCCGAACAAGTCGCATTCGTATGGTTGCTTGGAGTTTTTCGCAGAGATTCATCTAGGTCTGACAATGTGCCTCCACCAGGCGACTCCCGTCCTGGATGCTGTCATCCAGGGACTCTAGTTGATCATGAAGGCGTTTGAGTTCTTCTGTTTTTTTAGAAATCTCAGCTGCCAGCATGTGTCGCGCTTGTCGGAGTTCTTCCAGCGTAGCCTTGGCAAGATTAAGGTCTTGATTGACCTTCTTCAAGGTTATCTCAAGACTAGCTGGATCAGCGGTCGGTTGAGATGTTGTGGCCTCGGATGATGGAGGTTGGATCAAAGGCAGTTCGGCTCGAAGTTCGGTGATCCTTGCCATCATCCGATCAAGGACGGGAGGAGCTTCCGACTCTAATGAAGGCTGCACCAACAAATCTATCGCAACCTGAACTAAAGCCTCAAGGTCGGCTAGACTCAGGTCAGCAAAGTCGGAAGGTTCACTCGGGCCAAAGCGTTCATCTCTTGGGCAGCCTGAGGCAAATGGAAAATGTTAAGTCAGAGAGACATGGTGAACTCATTACAATATAAGGATAAAGTTTACCTGATTTAAGGCGGCCATGGCTTCAGAAGGGGCCATGAATCGGAACGTCGTGGAAGCACCATGGCAAGTTGTCGGGCCAGCAACCGATTCTTCTCCCGGTTGAAGACGGTGAGTGACGTCCAGCTCCATCCCCTAAACAAAGAAAGTTAAGCAAGGAAGAAGGGGAGAAAGTTAGAAAATGGATGGGAGTGAACACTAACCGAACCCCTTGGGACAAAATTGACTGAAGCCTCGCCCGACTTCGAGGAGCAAATCTCCTCTATGTCGTGAGGCGGGGGGATCGGTTGGACTGGTTGAGGAGCAATAGGAGGAACCTCACCAAGAGGCTGAGCGGCTGGTTGTAAGGGTAGCGCGGCGGCAGCTTGGTTGGGTGGTGCCATGACTGGGTCGGGTAATTCTGCGACCTGGTCGGGTTCGGACACCACCGCAATTGCATCAGGTTCCTAGTTGGAATATTATACAAGAGTTAGAGGTTTATAAAAGAATAATATGGAAAGATCCTGGCAGTTACCTGTGATGGTTCCGCAACCTGGTCGGGGAAGGCGACGGGTTGGTCGGGTATCGCTGGTCAGTCACTTGTAGTGGTAGGAAAGCAGGTGGAGGCGAAATTGTAGGAGAAATTGGCCTCCCCGCCGATTCCTCCGGTCGGTGTACCTACAGTAAGAGAGTTGAAGTTAATGGTTGAAGTAAGTATTTTCTTTTTTTTTTTAGGAGCATTAGGAAATACTTACCTCAGCTTGCAGAGGGGTCAGTTGTGCGATGGTCGGTTGACCATCTATCGGGAGGTTTTCTGGAAGATCGACCGGTTGAGCAGTTCGTTGTTCGGCTGGGATCGTTGGTGCAGCTAACGGCTGATTGGCAGTCGGTTGGTTTGTGGTTGGGACCACGGTCGGTTAGTTTGTGGTCCGGACCGCGGTCGGTTGGTTTGCGGCCGGCACCATAGTTGTTTGGTGTGTGGTCGGCAGTGCGGTTGACTGGGAAGAAGTCAGATTGATGGGTGATTGCGCCGCAGTCGGTTGAGACATGATCGGTTGATCCTCAGTCGGGTGAGAGATAGATGGGGCAGTGGTTGGCAGCAATGAAGGGTCCTCTTGAATAGAAGTTGTTTAAGTTAAGAAGAGTTTGCAAGGAAAATGAAATATGGAAGGAAAAAGACTTACCAAATTGTTTCCTGAAGTATGTTGGCATCCCGCTGGTATCCACTGGCAGAGATACCAGGTACTCCTCGATGACCCGCCTATCAATTACAGGGGAGGCCTTCTGCTTCTGTTTCTTTGCTCCGGATCCGCCTACGGCAGGCGCCTGCCTTTTTCTTCTCGGGGCAGCAGCCGATCGAGGTGAACCCAGCATCAAGATTGGGGGTGGGGCAAGTTTCCCAACCAATTTATTAGTCGGGGGAGCAATCACAGACCAGGTAGCCGACCACCAGGCAGGAAATGCCTTGGTCGCCGAAGGTTTTAAGCAGAAAGGCAAATACGAATTAGAGGTGATATAGTCGGTGAGTTGGGAAATGTGGGTCGGGGTGAGCTTGGGAATTACCAGCCCTTCTGGGCTTTGGGGTATAAGGTGCGGTCGGGCTAGTGGTCCCGGTATGCCCTGATAGCAACCGAACTGTCGGGCCAAAAATTGTGGTTGATAATTGAAAGTGTAAAATAATCTGCGGTTTTTCTTGTCCGACCTCTTACTGGAAAATAAAGATCGGGGTTTCATAGCGGAGTCCCATGAGAAGGGATAGATCGGATGAGGAAGAGGATTGGGATGAGTTTTGAAATAAGATGTGTCGGGGTGAAGCCAAAAAAGATCGGTCGAATATTGTATAAGGGTTTCATAGACATAGAAACGGGAATTTCTACGGTCTTAAGTCAATATTTGGGCGATAGCAGGGTCGGATGGATAAAGATAAGAGGAATTAGGAGTTAATCTGGCCAAGGCATAACCTATAGACCTGTAAGGGTTTGGGGCGATAGGAAGTCGGCCAAAGAAAGCAGTGGGGAAGTAAAGACGGAGCCACAATTCCAAGAACCAAAACGGTCCCGAAGCGGCTGTATCCACCTTTTTGGTATCGGTCAGACGGATGCTCACTCGAGCTAACCCCTCAAAAAGGTTAGCCAATAAAAGGGTTCCTCATGAGAAAAATTGGCCGCTGGCCAGTTGAATGGCTAGGTCGACCTGGGAAGAGAGGACGAGTTTGGAAGGGGAAAGAATGATGTATCTGTAAAGAGAGAAGAAATTCAACCAAGACATTCACCTTTGAATTTACATAAAAGATTACGAAGGGGGAGAAAGTACCTGCACAACGAAAAAATGAGAAATGTTGTGTGCTCGAATTCAGACACAAAGGTACCTTTCTTACCCAGATATTTGTTGACAAAGCTGGTCCAGCTTCTTTCTATCTCAGGGAGTTTGGCAAGGACCCAACCGGCGTGATTAGGCGAAGGCTCATGACCCTCAAAGGAGACCAGAACGGGATCATCACCCACTATAGGTAAGTGGGCAATGATAGCCACCTCCATCAAGGTTGGGCCAATAGGGCCAGTGGGGAGAAGGAAGACGCCCATCTGGGAGTGCTAGAAGGCCACCATTGCTAGTAAGGCCTTGTCGTGAAGGTGAAGGGGCTGAGCTGAGAGGAAGATAGCTTTGTCAATGCCTTGCCTCTTCCATTGTTCTTCAAAATATGGGAGCAGTCTCGTATGCCATTTGCGATACGCATCTTTTGGATCAGTAAGGTGAGTTCTGATGTTGTCTCAGAGACGTTCCGGTTTGAACGCGGCATCATTGACAATTATCGGAGAAATCTGAGAGATGACGGATTTCATACGATCATTATCTTTGTAGTACAGTAAGGGCGAATGGTAGGGGTAAGGACCCTCGAAGCCACGGAAGGCACTAATGGGTCAGCCCTATCAAAAGGAAGAGCAAGGACATATTGGTTAGTCATTTGAGCAGGAGTTGCAGAGGACGAAGAAACAGAGATTCTTGGAAATTGATCGCTTGGAAAGGGAGAAGAATTTCAAGATTTTGAGAGCGTGAGTATGGTTGGGTAAGAGAAGGGTTTTTCATAAACCCTGCGATGTGACATAACACAGTGTAATGATAGCACTGTGCTACAAACCCCTAAACGTCGCATCTCACGCAGTTCAAGGAGTGACGTTTAGGAGTTGGGCGGGAGGAGGCAAAATGTTAAGCACAAAAAAAAAAACGATGGGTAGGTTTTTCGAGAATGGACCTATCAAATTAGGTTAAGGAGTGATGCAGAGTTTAATGGGCTTGTTAATAGTAATAGGATCTTAA